CAGACCCCTGCCATAAGCAGCAACACCTAGGTCTCCTGCCGTACCCTTCCTTGGCTCACTGAAATAATGTCTCTGGCAATGATACACTGGCTTCCAGGCTGAGGGACTGACTGCCTCATCTTCCACTGCCTTCTGTGTATAGTTCTACAAGGCTGGGGGACTGACTGCCTCATCTTCCACTACCTTCTGTGTATAGTTCTACAAGGCTGGGGGACTGACTGCCTCATCTTCCACTACCTTCTGTGTATAGTTCTACAAGGCTGGGGGACTGGCTGCCTCATCTTCCACTACCTTCTGTGTATAGTTCTACAAGGCTGGGGGACTGACTGCCTCATCTTCCACTACCTTCTGTGTATAGTTCTACAAGGCTGGGGGACTGACTGCCTCAGCTTCCACTACCTTCTGTGTATAGTTCTACAAGGCTGGGGGACTGACTGCCTCATCTTCCACTACCTTCTGTGTATAGTTCTACAAGGCTGGGGGACTGACTGCCTCAGCTTCCACTACCTTCTGTGTATAGTTCTACAAGGCTGGGGGACTGACTGCCTCATCTTCTACTACCTTCTGTGTATAGTTCTACAAGGCTGGGGGACTGACTGCCTCAGCTTCCACTACCTTCTGTGTATAGTTCTACAAGGCTGGGGGACTGACTGCCTCAGCTTCCACTACCTTCTGTGTACAGTTCTACAAGGCTGGGGACTGACTGCCTCATCTTCCACTACCTTCGTAAATCATCTCTATATTAAAGTGGTAAAGCACTGGTGGGCGAAATGTCTTCAAAACAAGATACCCAAGTATAACAAACGTACCTAGTTCCTTATCTTGTCTGTACAGTATACCATTATCGTAATGATATATACCAACCAGGTTATTAACTGACAACATATACACTAAACCTGTAAGTAAACATAAGAGTATAACAGTTAATATACACACTATACTGGAAGATAATAAAGTATATAACTTAACATACACAGTATACTTGCAAATAAAGATGCAGAAGGCTCTACCAACAGTTAACATTATCACGAAGTGTAAAAGGAGAGGAAAAGAGAAAAACAAAAGCTGGTGATAATGAGAAGCCAACACTGGTAGCCAAGTACAAGTGTGGTTTACCCGGGCATCTAACACACTACGTGTTTTTTTTTTACCACTCATTTGCTATGGGTTTAACTCCCAACTGTATCGTGGTTTGTTGGCAATCATTTTATCACGCGAGTCGTGGGTAAACCAGCTGAAGACCTTCCCAGTATTAGTGTGTGATCAGCGTAGTGTTTTTAACGTGAGAAGTGCGCAGGAATAACACAAAAGTGGAGGTGGTGGTGAGGGGAAAGAATTGAGGAGGGGTGAGGGAGGTGATAGAGAGGGGGGAGGAGGAGAGATGCGAGGGAGTAGAGATGAGTGGAGGAGAGATGGAGAGAATCAGAGGGACGAGAACGTTCAGTGCGTGTTGACCTCTCGTCAAGTGTGGTGGTAGTTGCTACCAGTCAGTTTGGTGGTAGTTGCTACCAGTAAGTGTGGTGGTAGTTGCTACCAGTCAGTGTGGTGGTAGTTGCTACCAGTCAGTGTGGTGGTAGTTGCTACCAGTCAGTGTGGTGGTAGTTGCTACCAGTGTGGTGGTAGTTGCTACCAGTCAGTGTGGTGGTAGTTGCTACCAGTGTGGTGGTAGTTGCTACCAGTCAGTGTGGTGGTAGTTGCTACCAGTCAGTGTGGTGGTAGTTGCTACCAGTCAGTGTGGTGGTAGTTGATACCAGTGTGGTGGTAGTTGCTACCAGTAAGTGTCGTGGCAGCTGCTACCAGTCAGTGTGGTGGTAGCCGCTACCAGTCAGTGTGGTGGTAGCTGCTACCAGTCAGTGTGGTGGTAGTTGCTACCAGTCAGTGTGGTGGTAGTTGCTACCAGTCAGTGTGGTGGTAGTTGCTACCAATGTTGTGGCAGTTGCTACCAGTCAGTGTGGTGGTAGTTGCTACCAGTCAGTGTGGTGGTAGCTGCTACCAGTCAGTGCGGTGGTAGCTGCTACCCGTGTGGTGGTAGTTGCTACCAGTCAATGTGGTGGCAGCTGCTACCAGTCAGTGTGGTGGTAGTTGCTACCAGTCAGTGTGGTGGTAGTTGCTACCAGTCAGTGTGGTGGTAGTTGCTACCAGTCAGTGTGGTGGTAGTTGCTACCAGTCAGTGTGGTGGTAGCTGCTACCAGTCAGTGTGGTGGTAGTTGCTACCAGTGTGGTGGTAGTTGCTACCAGTCAGTGTGGTGGCAGCTGCTACCAGTGTGGTGGTAGCCGCTACCAGTCAGTGTGGTGGTAGCTGCTACCAGTCAGTGTGGTGGTAGTTGCTACCAGTCAGTGTGGTGGTAGTTGCTACCAGTCAGTGTGGTGGTAGTTGCTACCAGTGTTGTGGCAGTTGCTACCAGTCAGTGTGGTGGTAGTTGCTACTAGTCAGTGTGATGGTAGTTGCTACCAGTCAGTGTGGTGGTAGCTGCTACCAGTCAGTGCGGTGGTAGTTGCTACCCGTGTGGTGGTAGTTGCTACCAGTCAGTGTGGTGGCAGCTGCTACAAGTCAGTGTGGTGGTAGTTGTTACCAGTCAGTGTGGTGGTAGTTGCTACCAGTCAGTGTGGTGGTAGTTGCTACCAGTCAGTGTGGTGGTAGTTGCTACCAGTCAGTGTGGTGGTAGTTGCTACCAGTCAGTGTGGTGGTAGTTGCTACCAGTGTGGTGGTAGTTGCTACCAGTCAGTGTGGTGGTAGTTGCTACCAGTCAGTATGGTGGTAGTTGCTACCAGTCAGTGTGGTGGTAGTTGCTACCAGTCAGTGTGGTGGTAGTTGCTACCAGTCAGTGTGGTGGTAGTTGCTACCAGTCAGTGTGGGTGTAGTTGCTACCAGTCAGTGTGGTTGTAGTTGCTACCAGTCAGTGTGGTGGTAGTTGCTACCAGTCAGTGTGGTGGTAGTTGCTACCAGTCAGTGTGGTGGTAGTTGCTACCAGTGTGGTGGTAGTTGCTACCAGTGTGGTGGTAGTTACTACCAGTCAGTGTGGTGGTAGTTGCTACCAGTCAGTGTGGTGGTAGTTGCTACCAGTCAGTGTGGTGGAGTTGTTGCTACCAGTCAGTGTGGTGGTAGTTACTACCAGTCATGTGTGGTGGTAGCTGCTACCAGTCAGTGTGGTGGTAGTTGCTACCAGTCAGTGTGGTGGTAGTTGCTACCAATCAGTGTGGTGGTAGCTGCTACCAGTCAGTGTGGTGGTAGTTGCTACCAGTCAGTGTGGTGGTAGTTGCTACCAGTCAGTGTGGTGGTAGTTGCTACCAGTCAGTGTGGTGGTAGTTGCTACCAGTCAGTGTGGTGGTAGTTGCTACCAGTGTGGTGGTAGTTGCTACCAGTGTGGTGGTAGTTACTACCAGTCAGTGTGGTGGTAGCTGCTACCAGTCAGTGTGGTGGTAGTTGCTACCAGTCAGTGTGGTGGTAGTTGCTACCAGTCAGTGTGGTGGTAGCTGCTACCAGTCAGTGTGGTGGTAGTTGCTACCAGTCAGTGTGGTGGTAGTTGCTACCAGTCAGTGTGGTGGTAGTTGCTACCAGTCAGTGTGGTGGTAGTTGCTACCAGTCAGTGTGGTGGTAGCTGCTACCAGTCAGTGTGGTGTGTAGTTACTACCAGTCAGTGTGGTGGTAGTTGCTACCAGTCAGTGTGGTGGTAGTTGCTACCAGTCAGTGTGGTGGTAGCTGCTACCAGTCAGTGTGGTGGTAGTTGCTACCAGTCAGTGTGGTGGTAGTTGCTACCAGTCAGTGTGGTGGTAGTTGCTACCAGTCAGTGTGGTGGTAGTTGCTACCAGTCAGTATGGTGGTAGTTGCTACCAGTGTGGTGGTAGTTGCTACCAGTCAGTGTGGTGGTAGTTACTACCAGTCAGTGTGGTGGTAGTTGCTACCAGTCAGTGTGGTGGTAGTTGCTACCAGTCAGTGTGGTGGTAGCCGCTACCAGTCAGTGTGGTGGTAGTTGCTACCAGTCAGTGTGGTGGTAGTTGCTACCAGTCAGTGTGGTGGTAGTTGCTACCAGTCAGTGTGGTGGTAGTTGCTACCAGTCAGTATGGTGGTAGTTGCTACCAGTGTGGTGGTAGTTGCTACCAGTGTGGTGGTAGTTGCTACCAGTCAGTGTGGTGGTAGTTGCTACCAGTGTGGTGGTAGTTGCTACCAGTCAGTGTGGTGGTAGTTGCTACCAGTCAGTGTGGTGGTAGTTGCTACCAGTCAGTATGGTGGTAGTTGCTACCAGTGTGGTGGTAGTTGCTACCAGTGTGGTGGTAGTTGCTACCAGTCAGTGTGGTGGTAGTTGCTACCAGTGTGGTGGTAGTTGCTACCAGTCAGTGTGGTGGTAGTTGCTACCAGTCAGTGTGGTGGTAGTTGCTACCAGTCAGTGTGGTGGTAGTTGCTACCAGTCAGTGTGGTGGTAGTTGCTACCACCCTACACCCCCCACTCTACTACAGAGGTCAGACTATTTTCTTCACCGCCAGGAAGAACACCCAAACAAAATATTCCACTTAACAACAGTGCAAAAGTTAAATAACAGACTATAAGTTAAAACCGATAAAAATAGACAATAAGTGACGATAGATAAAAGTCCAATAATAGACAATAAGTGACGATAGATAAAAGTCCAATAATAGACAACAAGTTACTATAGATAAAAGTCCAATAATAGACAACAAGTTACTATAGATAAAAGTCCAATAATAGACAATAAGTGACGATAGATAAAAGTCCAATAATAGACAACAAGTTACTATAGATAAAAGTCCAATAATAGACAATAAGTGACGATAGATAAAAGTCCAATAATAGACAATAAGTGACGATAGATAAAAGTCCAATAATAGACAATAAGTTACTATAGATAAAAGTCCAATAATAGACAATACGTTACTATAGATAAAAGTCCAATAATAGACAATACGTTACTATAGATAAAAGTCCAATAATAGACAATACGTTACTATAGATAAAAGTCCAATAATAGACTACAAGTTAACGATAAATCAAAGTCCAATAATAAACTAAGTTAAAATAGATAAAAATAGACGAAGTTACGATAGATCAAAAATAAGTCCAATAATAGTTTAAAGGCGACGATAGATATAAGGGAAATCCAGTAACTTAGTGTTAAGTGATAAAGGAATAACGTTAACAGGTGAAATTCCTTGAAGCTGGTGGTTTACGTGGTTTATAAATTAGCGTTAAACCCGCTTTTGTGCTGATGGTTTAAGAATGACTGAGGTGATGGATATAGCTGACATGACATCGAAGGTGAATGAAAGTGATGTGGGACAAGATGAGAGAGTGACACTACAGCTGGAGAGTGTGAACATGACGCCTTGGTCAGGTGACAACAGTAGCTGGGACAACGGCCTCATCAACGGGAGCACAACAGAGGCCCATATGTACATCATAGATCACATCCAGCAGTGGTTGACTCCCGTGTTGGTGGTGTTTGGTTGTGTGGGTAACATAACCAGTGTTTGGGTCTTCCATTCAAGCAAACTACGATCTCTCAGTTCTTCCTGCTACCTGGCCGCCCTAGCCGCCTCCGACACTGTGTTCCTGCTGACGCTTCTGCTGGTCTGGCTCTCTATGGTAGGCTACGACCTGCTGAACCAGCCTGGCTGGTGCCAGGCTATCATCTACGCCAGCTACGTTGCTACCTTCCTCAGCGTGTGGCTGGTGGTAGCCTTCACAGTAGAGAGGTTTATCGCTGTGTGCTATCCGCTACTCAGAGCAGCTGTGTGTACGGTACGGCGCGCCAGGCTAGTCATACTAGCACTAACTATCGTAGCGTTGTTACTATACTCGTATCTCGTGGTAGCAGCGGCTCCGGGGATGCACCCCACGGCAGGGCGTACCATGTGCAAGGTACGGCCACAGTACGTGCAGGTAGCCACTACCATGAACCACATTGATACCGTGCTGACGCTAGTACTACCCGTCCTCCTGATAGTCACTCTCAATGTCAGGATCGCGCGTTGTGTCTGGCATGTAGAGCGCCTCAGACACTCCATGACACTAGCCCACTCCCACACCGCCTCTAACGACGGGTGTGGGCGGTGGGCAGGTAGCGAGGAGGGCACGAGTGTGTTAAGTGTGGGCAGTGGGCGTGGAGGGCCCGTCCCACGAGTCAGGTCACAGAACAAGGTCACCAAGATGCTACTAATTATCTCTACTGTCTTTATCCTGCTCAACATGCCTTCTTACGTCATGCGAGCCTACATACTCTTCTGGGTAAGCCTATATACACCACCATCATACATACTATTCTGGTAAATCCCATATACATGCCACCATTATACATGCACCATGTTGTAACTGTACCAACCCCAAGGAAATACCGTGAATGACTGGGTATGACGGGAATAACAACAATGTCACCTGAAGCGAAGTGGAAGACGTAGAGTCGTAGACTTTGACCAGCTTCCAACACACACAACAACCACCACATATATAATATAATAACGGTATACAATACTGACGGGTCGATAAGACCTGTGAAGCAGTTAGGTAATCTTTATTCCGAAACGTTTCGAAAACACAGTAAGCTTCTTCAGTCGAGTTAGCAGAAGCAGCAGAGATGTGAAGACGATGTAATCAGTCCATCAGCCTTGAAGACATAGTTCCGAGGTGGTGAGTCTCTCAGTCTGGAGAAGAGCTTTGCTCCACAGTCTGCAACAATGTTCACATCTCTACTGCTAACTCTTTTGTACTCGACTGAAGAAGCTTACTATGTAGGCGAAACGTTTCGTAATAAAGATGCCAAACTGCTGCTCATGTGTCTTACTTATCAACCACATATACAACAAAGACAGCTGACATGACAGCCACACTAACATATACAACAAAGACAGTTGACATGACAGCCACACTAACATATACAACAAAGACAGCTGACATGACAGCCACACTAACATATACAACAAAGACAGTTGACATGACAACCACACTAACATATACAACAAAGACAGTTGACATGACAACCACACTAACATATACAACAAAGACAGGTGACATGACAGCCACACTAACATATACAACAAAGACAGCTGACATGACAGCCACACTAACATATACAACAAAGACAGGTGACATGACAGCCACACTAACATATACAACAAAGACAGCTGACATGACAGCCACACTAACATATACAACAAAGACAGCTGACATGACAGCCACACTAACATATACAACAAAGACAGCTGACATGACAACCACACTAACATATACAACAAAGACAGTTGACATGACAACCACACTAACATATACAACAAAGACAGGTGACATGACAGCCACACTAACATATACAACAAAGACAGTTGACATGACAACCACACTAACATATACAACAAAGACAGTTGACATGACAACCACACTAACATATACAACAAAGACAGTTGACATGACAGCCACACTAACATATACAACAAAGACAGTTGACATGACAGCCACACTAACATATACAACAAGACAGTTGACATGACAGCCACACTAACATATACAACAAAGACAGTTGACATGACAGCCACACTAACATATACAACAAAGACAGTTGACATGACAGCCACACTAACATATACAACAAAGACAGTTGACATGACAGCCACACTAACATATACAACAAAGACAGTTGACATGACAACCACACTAACATATACAACAAAGACAGCTGACATGACAACCACACTAACATATACAACAAAGACAGTTGACATGACAGCCACACTAACATATACAACAAAGACAGCTGACATGACAACCACACTAACATATACAACAAAGACAGTTGACATGACAACCACACTAACATATACAACAAAGACAGTTGACATGACAGCCACACTAACATATACAACAAAGACAGTTGACATGACAACCACACTAACATATACAACAAAGACAGCTGACATGACAACCACACTAACATATACAACAAAGACAGTTGACATGACAGCCACACTAACATATACAACAAAGACAGCTGACATGACAGCCACACTAACATATACAACAGAGACAGCTGACATAACAGTATATTACACTGTTTACAAGAACCGACGAGTTGATAAATAGGAGAGTTATGCTGTACTTGGTTATCTGTATTGTGGAGACGTGTCGCCATGTCACTAATCTTGTAATCCCAATCCCTCTAAAACGTCACTAATCTTGTAATCCCAACCCCTCTAAAATGTCACTAATCTTGTAATCCCAATCCCTCTAAAATGTCACTAATCTTGTAATCCCAATCCCTCTAAAACGTCACTTATCTTGTAATCCCAACCCCTCTAAAATGTCACTAATCTTGTAATCCCAATCCCTCTAAAATGTTACTAATCTTGTAATCCCAATCCCTCTAAAATGTCACTAATTTTATAATCCCAATCCCTCTAAAACGTCACTAATCTTGTAACCCCAATCCCTCTAAAATGTCACTAATCTTGTAATACCATCGCCAATCCCTATAAAATGTCACGTATGTAATCCCAACCCCAATCCCTCTAAAACGCCACTAATCTTGTAATCCCAACGCCAATCCCTATAAAATGTCACTTATCATGTAACCCCAACTCCAATCCCTCTAAAACGTCACTAATCTTGTAATCCCAACACCAATCCCTATAAAATGTCACTTATCATATAATCCTAACCCCCAATCCCTATAAAACGACACTATTTTCGTAAATCCCTTACTCAGTTCCTGAAAGCATCCCTAATTTCGTTATCCCTAGCTTCAGTTTGCATAAAAATTCACAAATTTCGTAATGCCCAGCCTCAGTCCCGCTAAAAAATCCTTAATTTCGTAACCCCCTAACCTAGTCTCTCACAGCGTCACTAATTACGTAATACACTGAACCAGTTCCTCACAGGAGTCACTAATTACGTAATACACTGAACCAGTTCCTCACAGGAGTCACTAATTACGTAATACACTGAACCAGTTCCTCACAGGAGTCACTAATTACGTAATACACTGAACCAGTTCCTCACAGGAGTCACTAATTACGTAATACACTGAACCAGTTCCTCACAGGAGTCACTAATTACGTAATACACTGAACCAGTTCCTCACAGGAGTCACTAATTACGTAATACACTGAACCAGTTCCTCACAGGAGTCACTAATTACGTAATACACTGAACCAGTTCCTCACAGGAGTCACTAATTACGTAATACACTGAACCAGTTCCTCACAGGAGTCACTAATTACGTAATACACTGAACCAGTTCCTCACAGCGTCACTAATTACGTAATACACTGAACCAGTTCCTCACAGGAGTCACTAATTACGTAATACACTGAACCAGTTCCTCACAGCGTCACTAATTACGTAATACACTGAACCAGTTCCTCACAGCGTCACTAATTACGTAATACACTGAACCAGTTCCTCACAGGAGTCACTAATTACGTAATACACTGAACCAGTTCCTCACAGGAGTCACTAATTACGTAATACACTGAACCAGTTCCTCACAGGAGTCACTAATTACGTAATACACTGAACCAGTTCCTCACAGGAGTCACTAATTACGTAATACACTGAACCAGTTCCTCACAGCGTCACTAATTACGTAATACACTGAACCAGTTCCTCACAGGAGTCACTAATTACGTAATACACTGAACCAGTTCCTCACAGGAGTCACTAATTACGTAATACACTGAACCAGTTCCTCACAGGAGTCACTAATTACGTAATACACTGAACCAGTTCCTCACAGGAGTCACTAATTACGTAATACACTGAAACCAGTTCCTCACAGCGTCACTAAATTACGTAATACACTGAACAGTTCCTCACAGCGTCACTAATTACGTAATACACTGAACCAGTTCCTCACAGGAGTCACTAATTACGTAATACACTGAACAGTTCCTCACAGGAGTCACTAATTAGTAATACACTGAACAGTTCCTCACAGGAGTCACTAATTACGTAATACACTGAACCAGTTCCTCACAGGAGTCACTAATTACGTAATACACTGAACAGTTCCTCACAGCGTCACTAATTACGTAATACACTGAACCAGTTCCTCACAGGAGTCACTAATTACGTAATACATGAACCAGTTCCTCACAGCGTCACTAATTACGTAATACACTGGAACCAGTTCCTCACAGGAGTCACTAATTAGTAATACACTGAACCAGTTCCTCACAGGAGTCACTAATTACGTAATACACTGAACCAGTTCCTCACAGGAGTCACTAATTACGTAATCACTGAACCAGTTCCTCAAGGAGTCACTAATTACGTAATACACTGAACCAGTTCCTCACAGGAGTCACTAATTACGTAATACACTGAACCAGTTCCTCACAGGAGTCACTAATTACGTAATACACTGAACCAGTTCCTCACGGAGTCACTAATTACGTAATACACTGAACCAGTTTCCTCACAAGGAGTCACTAATTACGTAATACACTGAACCAGTTCCTCACAGGAGTCACTAATTACGTAATACACTGAACCAGTTCCTCACAGGAGTCACTAATTACGTAATACACTGAACCAGTTCCTCACAGGAGTCACTAATTACGTAATACACTGACTCAGTCCCTAAAACGGTCACTAATTACGTAATACACTGACTCAGTCCCTAAAACGGTCACTAATTACGTAACTTCCAGTCATAAGCTCTCCAAAACTCGCCACATTTATATATTCTTCAGTTACCCCCCAAAAAAAAACGTTTAAAATTTTCGCTCCCTTGCTTCTAAAGCCTGATATGTAAGATTGTAGTGGAGGGTGTAAGATTGTAGTGGAGAGTGTAAGATTGTAGTGGAGAATGTAAGATTGTAGTGGAGGGTGTAAGATTGTAGTGGAGAGTGTAAGATTGTAGTGGAGAGTGTAAGATTGTAGTGGAGAGTGTAAGATTGTAGTGGAGAGTGTAAGATTGTAGTGGAGAGTGTAAGATTGTAGTGGAGGGTGTAAGATTGTAGTGGAGAGTGTAAGATTGTAGTGGAGAATGTAAGATTGTAGTGGAGGGTGTAAGATTGTAGTGGAGAGTGTAAGATTGTAGTGGAGAGTGTAAGAGTGTAGTGGAGAGTGTAAGATTGTAGTGGAGAGTGTAAGATTGTAGTGGAGAGTGTAAGATTGTAGTGGAGAATGTAAGATTGTAGTGGAGGGTGTAAGATTGTAGTGGAGAGTGTAAGATTGTAGTGGAGAATGTAAGATTGTAGTGGAGGGTGTAAGATTGTAGTGGAAGGTGTAAGATTGTA